AATATATATATATATATATATATATACTTTATAGTTTCTGTACTGTAATAAATTATATGTCAATTAGCAATGCATCATTCATAAATTGTATTTATTTATTTATTGTGTTTATTGTCTTAACGTTTCAGTTCATTCTGTTCTTTATACAGTTTAGCTGCATATATAGCCTGGCACGTCTATGAGCGCAAGATCACTTCTCTTTCAGTCCGAAAACGTCTTTATCTCGTTTTCATCAAATAAAATGCTATAGTATTTAACTTTTCCACTCCATCTGCGAATGATGATTCTGAAAGAAAACGCGCCTGATGTCTGTTTGTTTCAAACTACTTTATGGCGTTAAAAATAACGCCATATTCACAGGCGATAAATAGTGGAGCGCGAGGAGAGATGCGAGGCACGAACACCACGATTCAAGGTCTCCATTAATTCGTGCTTGTAGTAATTTAATGTGTATATATATTTGAAAGCATTGAATCGCTATAGAAATCGTGATGCATTCGATTCTTAGCGTTTTAAATCGATTACTGTCCGAAATCGACGATTCGCGATGAAAAAATCCCTGTTTCAAGATCGATTGCATCGTCAGGGTTTATAATCCATGCGTCGAGAAAACGAGTGAATCGTTACACCCCTAGTTGTTAGTGTTAACTAAAACCATAAAAAAAAATGTTTTCAGTAACTGAAATAAAATAAAATACATATAATTTTTTTTTAAAACTGCCATTATTTCAGTTGTTTTCCAAGGCAAAATGTCTAATTTTACTTTAAGCTTAAGTTCTAAAACTACTAAAACTAAAACAGAAATATAAAGAACATTAAAGCTAGAAATATTGGAAAATACTGAAAAAACAATAACGAATAAAAATGTCAAAAGCATATAATAAAATAGGCTAACTAAAACTAAATTAAAATATAAACTGAAAATAGAAGATATTTAAAATATCACTAAATACTATAATAGTAATTAACACTAAAATAACACTAATTCGCAATTTTTCTGCCAGGATATTATCCAGTAATCAAGTAACGGACATTTCCATCAATAAAACACCTGTAAAAAAAAAATCAATATGATGACATTAATATGAAAATTCCTTGATATTAGTACAGTACATTGTGCCCTATTTGACAGATTTCTTACAGTGTAGTTCAACAGTTCATACTGTAAAGACAGACTCAAACAACCGCCTGTGGTAATTGAAGCACAAATTACAATCTGATGCGATAATAATTGAACTCATAACAGCTTGAATGTCCCTGTGCATGAGTGAATGTTATGAAGGTAGAATGACGTCAAAAAGATTTGCATACGCAGGGTAAGACTTGTGGAAGTGTACATAAGACTGTAAGCGTAAACTAAATTTGCATGCGCAAGAGAAGCTTTGTAAAGGTGTAAATTGCGTTTCAAGCATAAGAAAAAATTATTTGCAGCATTTTACTGTTACTCGTAAGTGTAATTCATGTATTGTGAAACTGCAGCTTCATGCTAACGCAAAATAAATATGATCGTATGCAAATCTTTTTGACGTCATTCTACCTTCATAGAATGTTCCCTGATGCTCTCGCGACTGATTCAACATCAACAACAGCAGCCATGCAGGCAACCACCAGATGAGCCCCTTTCTTCCATGTCTTGTAGATGCGGCTCTGCACATGTTCTTGTCAGTTTTTCAATTACGCAGCCCACGGGAGATGCTGGAATGATCAGAGTGAATTAGATGGAGGTCTCTGCCACAGATGAATCACAATAATGCGGTTACTCTCGTGGTTTTGTGGACATGTGCTCACGCTCACGCAGGAGATGAAGTGACATTTGCCCTGAGGTCATCTCTCACCTCTTAATCAGAGTTTGCTCCCCTCTATTCCGCATTGAAACGCCATCGATTCTCTCCGCAGGCTAAATAAGGACAGAACTATCTGTCTTTTTTCGTGGAAATGCTAAAAAACGGTTTGGCTTGGGAAATGTCGATAAGTTAATGACATAGGGAGGTATTATCTGGGCTTTATTGGACAGACAGATCTTTGTGGCTCTCACTGGACAAAAAGTCTTATTAAGAATGGAGACAGAAAATGAATGGTGCTGAGTGAATTATCACACCGAGAGCAGGGCGGATGGGAGGTACTTCATCCTTTAAAATCTGAATGGAAGGTGGAGAACAGTGTCAGGCTACAGATTTCAGAAAGAGGGAACTGGAGGAGGAAAGATATCATGCATCATTCAAGAGCTCCCTCACACACACACACACACACACACACACACACACACACACTAAGGTTCTGAATGGAATTGAAAAGGTCTTTAAAAAAAAAATTCAAACCATGAATCTGAATTGCAATAGCAATTCAAAAATGCAGAAATTAAAGTATAATTAAAATTTTAAGTCTGTAGAAATCCATATAACTCTTAAGAATCTATTTTTAATACATTTAATTTTTCATTATGACTTACTTTAAATACTAAACACATTATTATACACAATATATGGGGTACAAAATCATTAGTTGATATAAATAATTAATGCCAGCTATAAAAAGAAAGAATATTCATAAAAATATTATATCATTGTGTTTTGTATATTTAACTGTATCATTGCATTTTATGTAATGTATTTATGATTTAATACATATTATATATATATATATATATATATATATATATATGTGTGTATGTGTGTGTGTGTTTGAGATACTGGATTTTTAACTTGACATGAGCTGTAAGCGCTAATCATCAAAATTAAAACAAAAAACTTTTGAAATATTTGACTTTACATGTAATGAATCTAGAATATATGAAAGTTTCATTTTTTGAAATAAGAACTTTTTCATGATATTCTAATTTTCTGATATGCACCTGTGTGTGTGTGTGTGTGTGTGTGTGTATATATATATATATATCTAAAATTAGATTTATAATCAAATTTTATACATCTACTATCTGAAGATTAAAATGTAAACACTATAAGACATTACAGTATATACTGTATTATAAATTCAAGTAAAGTAATTTCATAAATTCATTTTTAAAATAGCTACTAACTAGTGGTATTAAATATAAATATTGTGTGTATATGTATATAATGTATATATTTGTATTGTACATGTAATTTTTAATGTATTCATTCAACTTTCTGTGTATTTTGGCCAAGTCAATTCAAATTCACACTTAAAATCAGTATTTTGTGCAACCCTGACACATAAATACAAACAATACACAACAGCAGACACATACTCTGGACTTCGAGTTGTCCATGCCCAGCTCCACGTCTTTTTTCAGGCGGCGCGGGCGACACCGGAGCAGGTTGACCAGTCTCTTGATACATAGATAGAAGGACTTCGGGCTGGGGACGATGCTGAACGGAGGCGGGAGAGTCTTGCCATTGTCAAAATACGAGAGCCAGAGTTTAGACCGAGCGAACTTCCACTCCACATCTGCATCATCCTGCAAGAAACAAACTGTTACATACTGTATAAAACTATTAGAAATCCCCCCCGCCCCACAAAAAAAGGAAAACTTAAAAAAAAATTTTTTGGGATAAATAAAAATGTTTGATAATATAGCATAATGAGAGATTTTTAAAAAGGCCAGCCATTTTTGACCAGGAAAACCGAATTAGGTATAGGATTTTCAGCACGGCAAGGGTTAAGCTGAGATTTAGTGTTGTATAAGAATTACATTTTCGGTCAGCAATAGATGCTAAATGCCTCTTCTCCAGAAATCTGATGTATGGGCCATTTGCACAAGTATAATTGCTCAGTGAGAGTCAAAACCTCTTCTAAGAGTCCTTCTGAAAATGACAGTCATTTTAACAGCAGCGTTATCAAAAGCCTCAGACATCATTTTCTCCCAGGGGACTATTGGAAACACAGAGGACAAGTTTGATCTGATTCCAGATGTATTTTTGGCAAAGAAGACATTAAAGTCATATATGAAAATGTGAAAATTAGCTGAAAATGTACTCCCCTTTAAGCCTTCAAAGATGTAGATGAGTTAGTTTCTTCATGGGAACAGATCTAAAGAAATTAAGCATTACATCACTTGCTCACCGATGGATCCTCTGCAGTGAATGGGTGCCATCAGAATCCGAGTCCAAACAGCTGATAAAAACATCACAATAATCCACACAATTCCAGTTCATCAATTCATGTCTTGTGAAGTGGAAATATGAGTAAATAATCCATAATAACGCGTCCTTCAGTGAAAAAGTCCATCCTCTGTTTCTCTTACATCAAAATCCACTGAAACATCTGTATAGAACTGTTTTGGACTGTTTTTGATTGTAAACTGTGCTTGATCTGTTCATATTTCTCTCCTGATTCAGACAAGGCGACTTTTTTACTGGAGGAAACAATATTATGGATAGAAATAATGTTCAGTTTCTTGCACAGATCAATGGTTTAGCTTCAAAAGACCTCAATATGTCATCAGAAGCCACGGGTATATTTATTTTGTGTTCCTTAATATGCTTTATTCTCAAAGACAGGCAGCCGCTGACATTTTATCAATCACAAAAGACCATAGTTTTAGCAAAAAATATTCTTAACTGTTCTACTCAAGAAAAAAGTAATTTTGGGTAAACTATTCCTTTAAAAATGTCTTGATGGATTTGTTTATTACAAACACAGTTTTCACTTCACAAGATGTTAATTGATGGACTGGAGTCGTGTGGATTATTGTGATGTTTTTATCAGCTGTTTGGACTCTCAATCTGACGGCACCCATTCACTGCAGAGGATCCATTGGTGAACAAGTAATGTAACACTGAATTTCACCAAATCTCTTCCAATGAAGAAACAAAAAAGGGTAATCAAAAAGGTTCCCCTAAGAACCACTGCTGCGAAAACCCTCTTTTTGAACCTTTATTTTTAAGAGTGTGTGTGTTTTTTTTCTTTCTATTCACCTCTCAATCACAGCTTTTTAAATCTTGATTATGATTAGCTTGTTCTTAGGTTTAATTTTGGCACAAGTATCGGTGTTAGCGATCTCACGCCCAAACTGTATGCAAACTCTTAACTCAAGTGAAATTCTCTAAATAGTGCATGGGAAGATAGCTCACCTCTATTTCCTGGTACGAGCTGTTTATCATGGCAATAAGCATGTTGAGCAGAACCACCACCATGGTAACATTGTAGATCCCGTACAGCACATAGCCAATGTTCTCGATAAATTTATGATCGTATTTCAACACCACAGAAGACACCTCAGACAGCCCGAATATGGACCAAAAGAGAGTTTTAAAACTCTCCTCAACCCTGTGAACACACACAAGAGGGAAGAGAGTGTTTAAAGTCAACATGAAGTGTCCGTAACCCATTTTACATTTTTGTTTCAGTAATTGTATGTATGTCCTTCAAACTTGCTTATAGTGGTTGGTGAGAGTGAAAACATATGATCTGCTTATTTTCCCTTTGAATGCACATCAGATCAATTACAATAAGTAACTTTTAAGTAAAATCTACAGGCGCTCTATACAATCAGATGAGATCTTCTGGGAAAGCAAATGTCTAGAGACTAGATAAGGAAAATGACAGCAATGCACATCTGCTTTACATCCCTGGAGATCAGCTGTGAAAATGAACATCCTCCACTCACACAGATGCAAGAATGATGGGATTGATGAAACAACTCCAGACTTGAATCTCAGGAGTCTACTGTGAGTACATATAGTACACACACACACACACACACACACACACACACACACACACACACTGCAACGTGATCTCATGATAATTCTTATGTATTTTACGTAAAATGTGGTTCTATAAAACGTACATTTACTTACGTTTTTACAGGCACTAAAACGTACAATACTGATGTATTTTCAGCATCTAAACATACAAATACTTACATATTTTCAGCATTTAAACGTACAAAACTGACGTATTGTCGACACCTAAAAATAAATCCTTATGAATATTGAAATCCCGACATAAATTTTATTATTATTGTTGTTTTTAGTTGTCATATCAATGACCTTGTTTTCAATTCCATTATTAAATTGTTTACTCGTTTACTTAATATGAAATTATAACATTTTGTTTTGTTGTGTGATTTCTGCTGCCAGCTCGTTTCCATGAATATGCCTACATAATGTTAAACAAGACTTCACTTTAAACCTTAAAATAAATAACATTTCTGCATCGACTATGACTCTCGGTTCCGGCCCTGTCCCAAATGGAACACTTCATGTGCACTTGCGGTCTTACGGACTTACAATGGTTGCTTACGTGCATGAATCTGAGTGTAAACAGTGAGAAATGGCAGGTCGGGAGGCAGGTGCATTTGGCGGTGACAGGTCGAGTGACAGGCGCATTTGGCAGTGGCAGGTCGAGTGGG